TTGCTCTCACATCGGTCTTTATTTGCTTATATTCCGTTGTATTCAACTAAAGTGCGTTCCAAAATTTTTTTTGTTTTTCACTCCATGCAGTCGACATAACGTGTCTGGAGACGAATATTGGATACCCTCCACATAAGTTATGTATATATACATGCTTCCTTTTTTAAATAGCGAGCCACTCGGGGGAAACTCCCTATATATATAAACTTTGGTGCAGGTTCGACTTGGAAATAAGAACATAAAGAACGACGGGAGCTTTGTATTTTTATTAAGATGACTCGCTCTGTCACTCTGAAAGTGTTCCTTATAGATGATGGCGTAACGGTCATCATGAAATATTGCGCGCGGAGTAGTGGAGAAAGAGATAGTAGTAATTGCATACTTCCTGTTTAAAGATAAGGGCACAATGAAAGGTTGGATGTCCGCTAAATATGTAAACATATCAAGGTAATCAAGAAATTATGGATGAGAAGAATGAGGGAGAAGTGATCTTGGATGTTCGAGAGAGACGGACGGATAATATGAAAAGTCCAGAGTGAAAAGAGAAAAACAGTGGCTGCGAGACAGACAGCAAGAAATACAGTGACACTCAGGGAGGAAGAAACAAAAAGAGAGACAAAAAGAGAGATAGAGATACTGAGGCAAAACAATGCAAGAACGAGAAAGACACAGACTTAGACGTAAGAATATTAGGGAAGATTATTTTGTTTTTAACACAACGCGCATCGCAAGGCAAATTTCCTACGCCAGTAAGGCTGGTAGATCGAGGAGGCGCGAAGGACAGAATACAAGTAATGATGGGATATTTTTTTATTAATATATGTATAGAAAAAAAATTGTTTAATTTTCCTAATGATTATTATAAACAACACAAAATGTACAATTTTAAGAATTTAGTTACAATTTTGGAACAGGGGTTAGCAAGGGTTATCTCAACCAGGCTTGCGTACATTTTCCACATTTTTTGTGCAACCATTTCATAGTTGAATTAAGGTGAGGAGAAGTTTTTGATACTTTTTCGTAAAAATGAACTTCAGACCTTAAAACAAGTTGTCTGTGTTTTTTTGGAAAAATATTGTACTCCTATTTTTCCGCTTCGAATTTCAGTTTCGAATATTTTGAAAAAATGGGCGTTTTTTAACCGGGACTAGATATGCATGTCGTGTTAAACATATATATATTATGATGACATTTTCTGAACTGAGTATTAAAAAAGAGTAAACCTCTTCCTCGACCATGTATGTAAAAAGCAAGTTAACTTGTCTGCAAGTACACCAGCTTCTAAAGTAGTTATATAAAAGAAAATTAAAAAATTGCAAATTTGTTGAACATGACGTGAACAATGACGGATCGCCTGGACAGGTCAGGTCGGAATGCCCCCAATTTTCTCCAGGAGCCGGTATTACATAATATTCTTATCTATCGAATCTCTCTCTCTCTCTCTCTTTCTCTCTTTCTCTCTCTCTCTCTGTCTCCATGAGATAACTGTTTTAACGGGACCACAAAACTATAATTCAACAGTCTTAGAAAACAGTAACAAAGAAAGCATCTGAACTTTTCCGACGATCCAAATATCATATTTATTTCAGATTAATATAAATTCAGTTTAATATTCAATTATTATAGTTTTAATTCATGAAATTTTTAATCAAAATTTCAATCATTCATTACTCTTATCTCTAAGGCAAAGAGTTACGTTTAACTTAGGTCGAACCACAAGAGCCTTTCGCGTATCTCTGTATACTTCCGATCTAATAAAACTTTTGCATGTTTTCAACACAAAAAAGAAATTTATGTATACTTTGACCGGAATCTTGGATACGCATCTGCTGATAACATGTTACTCGAACATATTACAGTGAGGGGCTGTTATGAATTCGTATAAGAGCTTTTAAAATAACATATTCGTTACTTAGTGTTATTTCGGGAAACGTAAGATCATAATTATTGATAAGATTTTCAAGTGAAATAAACGTAAAATAGTAAACAAAATATTTTGAGGGCATTTAAATTAAATAATTAATATATTTCCGATAAGGTATTACATTAATGTGAATACATTTTTGATTCCTTAACGTTCAATTCCGCAAATAATTGCATCAGAAAATGCAAAGGGTGGGGAAACCAAAATTCGTCATACAAGCTTACCTATGAATATGCTCTCTAATCTTGTAATTAGAAAATCAAAACGTGCAAAAAAAGAGTAAAAGGGAGGCATTTACATGCCTACATGAATAAGAGAGAGTTGAAGAGAAGCGTACTTATATATATGTGCAAAGAGAGGGGGATGGACACAGTGAGCGAAAAAGAAAGACGGAGAAAAAAAACAGATAGAAAAAGAAAGAAAAGAGCGAGAGAGATGTTTATTGTGTTGAATGTTTAACTGAATAATTTTTCGTCGATGCTGGAACTAGTCATTAAATTTGTAAATAAGTTTTCGTCAATAGCTGAAAGGGTCATTGAGCTCAATTTCAATTATTCATAGATCGAAACCATATTCAATCAGCGCATATTTAAACTGCGAGCTTGTAATTAACCGCTTTTAAGAGCTTAAGTTTAAATTTCCCATTTCGTAATTAGCTTTTCCAAAAAAAGAGAAATGGACGCAATTTGAACTCGATGTGAAACCGAACTGAAAGCTTTCCAGCAACGACAGGACCTGTGGTAGGACATTTTGAAGCGAACCGTAATTGTTAGTCTGATAAGTCTAGTCTGCAAATCGGTTTAGCACAGCTTTGTTCGGAAACTTAACTAAGCGGTCATATAGATGACGTTCTTTGGAACGACCATGTGTTCACATAGATATTTGATAACTAGTCAAATATTACGTCAATGTAAGCACGAAACATATCCGTCGGTTACACCAGCTACACTGATTCTTTAAAAAAAAAGAAAAAATTAAATAAATGAAAAATAAACATTACAAATTTTTTATCAAATTAAAAATCCGATGCTAACTATAAGCTATATATATAAAAATGAATAAAAGCACAAAAAAAATTATTTAAACGCTAATCACGACTTATACGTAAATATATATTTATTGTTATTATATGTTACTTAGAGTAAAGAATTAAGTTCTACAACTAAAAGTAGGACGAACATTAGCAGCTAAGACATGGTTAGTCTCATCGTACTCCAAGCACTTTTAAAATGTCCACACGTTAGGTGTTCCGAAAACGAGCTTGCATTCGCACACAACGTGTTCGCATTCACGAAATATATGTTTAATCGTAAGGTCAACAATTGCATATTGAAAGACTAAAGTTTTTCAAGAGTCATTGGTACGTTATAATATCATGACCAAGGGAGGTTAAGGCAAACGTTTCGATCTTCATTTTCCCGGCGTAGCTTGTATATAGAGGTAGAATGGGACTAAGACACCCTACATGACTTCATCTAGTACAATTATTCATTCGCTTTGGTAATAATACGCCAAAATTACGCATTATTTTCATGCAAACCCCACATTGGAGGATGCCCAAAACCTCACACGATATAATTCAAATTTTGCAAACTTAATTTGCTTCCAAGAAATTTAATTGTTGTTCAGTTTCCTTCACAAAAAATTGGAAATTAAACATTCTGTCCATGTAAGGGTTTGTTTTTCCTGACAACTCCTGTATATATTGGGGTCTAAAAAATAGACCTATCTAATTCAATTTCCTGAACGTTAATTTTTTTGATAAATTGCAATATTAAAAATTAAACCTGTCTTCTAAAGGGCATCGTATGGTCCAAGATATAGACTCATTTACTTCAAATATGGTCGATTAAATTTTTATGTTGAATTACTACACTGAAAAAATTTTCATCGTAAGCCATTAACAATAAGGACTTTTGCTCAAGAATCCCAAGAATCTTTATATGCGGTGGTCGAAGTTCGGTAGGGATGATTTCTTTGTCAACTTACCGTTGTAAACCGTTGTAATTTTCGACGTGAGATATTGAATATTACTGTTTTTTGTCATACAAAGATTTAGTTTTCGTAGGAACGGTTATATGAGAGGAGGTTCAAAATGTTGTCTCAGACGAACCACCAATTATAACAATTTACACCCAAGACTTAGTTTGAAAAGTCGTTATATGGGGAGTGGTCGAAAAAGTGGAACGACCCAAACTACTTTTAGCAGCGTTCGTGTTTGGTCGAAGCACGCCAGTGTGCTAGATTTCATTAAACTATCCCATAATTACGGCTGCAGGTCAAACAGAAGAACAGACGGACGGATGGAGAAATCAAGAACTGATCTTAAACCGAACGGTATAACAAAAGATGCGCCTATCTTAAGTCCTTGTGGGTGTTAGATGCGTCCGCACGAACTGAATGTAACCTGGACCACACAAGTGGTACAAAGATACGGATAATACGTAGCTTCCACTGGAAGTTGCTTCGAACGAAAAAGTTCCGTACCTTTTCTTATTTTTGTAGAAAAACCTTCAAAATGTGATGCCGTTTCCGTTATAAGAATTAATAGCTATAATGAAGCATCCAAATAACGATTTACCCGAAAAACCTTTTAATGATGTAATTAAACCACACTTAAGACTAAGTAGTGAAACAAATTAAAGAAAACAATTCGTGTTTTATGTAAATAAAATCCAAATGGGTGGAGCTTGAAAAGCTATTACTCCTTTATAATAATTATAATGACTCCACCCGATTTCTAAACCTTTTTTTACCAACACCCAATATTCCTAATATCGAAGTAAATAAATTAAAGCACATTTTCTTATCTCCCTCCGTATGTTTTCTATTCTCTGTTTCTCATATCTCTCGCTCTCTTTCAAGCTCGATTCGGTATTTAATCGAAATAGTCTTTAAGTAATTTTATCACACGTTCTCAATTATTTGCACCGATTATCATGAGCTGTGAGCAAATCGTAAATATGCGAATGCTCTCTTAAGAGAATAACATTCGTGTTTATAATTCGTCGTATGATACGATCATCTTTAGCATTTCAATAAATAAAAGCAGAAAGAGATGATGATTTCAATTCAAGTAATTAAATTGCATTGACTGTGTGCCTTTACGTAGATAATATATATAAAATATTACTCGTCTTTCAGATTTGCAGTTTTCAAATAGACATTCTTAACGCATTAAAGGCTTTTACTAACGGTAGGAAAAAAGAAATTTTTTTAATAAAATCTTTTTTTTTTTTTTTTTTTTTTAAACTAAACTAAATTGCACAACAACCGAAAAAAAGAGAAAAGTATTTAACTAAAAGACAGTGAAGTACTTACGCCTTTTCCACCAAAATAAAAGAATTATAACAAAATCAATAATAAAAATAAAAGAATAATTTTTTAACTTAAAAAATAAAAAAATGTTTAAAAAGGTGAGTTTGTGAGATAAATAAAAAAAAAAATGAATATTTGGTTTTCAATCTTATTCATGCAAAATCTGTGTTGTAGAAAAGTTGCGATCACTAAAAAAAAGCACATAAAAATGTAACGAAACGCTATTAAACGATTTAAAAATTGAAAAAATTTCCATTGAGAATTCTTAAAAATAGAACCCTAAGCGCGATCCAAGCTACTTACACGTTCTGCAGATTTGTCAAAGACGACTTGTGGCACAAGGGCGTATTAAGTTTATTCGGGTATATGCAAAAACTAACAGGACTTGAAGCAGGCCTATCTTTTATTATGTCGATCGTTTTACAATCACTTTCTGATTTGAATCAAGCATGTCTGTCCGCCTTATGTAGAACACAGAGGCCGTAAGGTTTGAGATATTTTGATGAAATCGGGCTTAGTGACGTGATTTAGCCAAAGGACGACCGTTATTGAAAAGGGTTCGAATCGAACCACTTATCATAGAGCGGCTTATTTTGAAAAGTCGTTATATAAATCTCCGCCGGATAGTGTAATTTTTAACAATTATAACACAACCCATTGAAGCAATCAAAAAACAATTAACAGCAGTACAGTTTTTTTTTTTGCGCTCTATAAATGCTTCACTTTGGAGCGATTGACTCATCAAATCTTATCAACCTAAAAAGTGGAGTTGTGAGATTAAATTAAAAATGACACTAAATCGATTTATTGGTTCTGCTATTAAATCATCTAGTTCGATTTGTAGATCCCTTATGTACATAATTTTAAAATCAAATTTTTGTGTTTATTAATTTTTTCAAAATGCAGACGAAATAAAATTTAATTTCTTTGACAAAAAAAAAATATATACATATAATATATATATTCACGTAGATATAGCAAGTGTCAGATTGTTCTCTCGTACGAATCGTGGTATTGAATGTCAATTTTTCCGAAATTATTTTTTCGTTGTGGTGACAATAGGTTGACGACGAATTTCTATTTGAAATATATTTCATCAAATTCAACCTCAGCAACCACATCGTATACAAAGTTCACTTCCATTTTCTAACTCCGTAACGGATGTGAGAACTTAATCAACGCACCAATGGAAAATGGATTAGACCGAACTATTTTTCCGATCATTCAGTACATAAAAGCCGTGTTATAAAGGAAGTTTTCGCACAATAGTACAGGACTTGTCCTTCTATGGCTTTTTCAAGCATTTTCTTATGCAGATCGAGCAGAACCGTACACTAAAACTCTAATATTCGTCATCGATTTGTAGACGTGCTTACGGAGGCAGACGTAGTCTTAAGCTCTGTGTGGATTCAAGTTGAAAACTTACACTCTCCGCCTTAGTCTTCACTTTCAAATTTTGTTATCCTGTTCGACTGTTCGGAATAACAATAGTATATGTAAACTTTTTAAGATATCTGAAAAAAATTTGTAGTTATATTGCGAATAACTGTGACTGCATACTTAATAAATCCTCATCAGACTTGCCTTGGGTATAGACCAAGACATGATATCATTGAATAGATGAGCAGCAAAGCCGATGATAAGAAAAACTAATTTTTACTTGAATGAACAGACAAATTCAGAAGTGAATGGAGCGGAAAGGACTGTCTAACAGAAGAACGTATATATGTATCTTGTAAGCGAAACGAATTTATGGGCGGGGGAAAAAAACATTCAAATAGATAAAAGGGTAAATAGATAGAAGGATAAACAAATAAGCAGAAAAACGGCATAGAACGGCTAACAAAATAGAACAGAACACAACGACAACGCAAATGAATGAGCAGAATATGCTTGCATTTGAAAGCAAATAAAGGAATGGTCAAACAAAAATTCAGTCACATAAGTAGATGACCGGCATGTCTTGCAATTGAAGGAACAAACAGATTAACTAAGAAGACAGAATGAATAGCATAGCTAATAAACACAATGTATTTGCAAAAAGATAGATGAACAGAAGAACGCATGGTCAGACAAGGGGATGATCAGATGGACAAACAGGCAAAGGACCAGCCAAAATAACTAATAGAACAAACGGGCTAGACTAGTGGATTAACAGGTCGCAATTGCAAATTAAAAAGGCCTAGCAACCAAAAACTGTACAGAAGGACTAGGAAAACACACCAAGCAGGCTAGTTAATAAACAGAACGCAAATATATAAAGAGAAGGACAAAACGCAACTCAGTTAGAAGAGAAGAGTGATCGATGGACAAACAGCAAGGGGCCGGATAGTGCGAATACCGGCTTTCGGATAGACAGAGAATCCGTCATAAGTAAATCTTCATTAAATTTTTTTCATTTTGTTTTTTTCATAATGTATGTGACACACAATATAAAGCTTCAGAGACCCTATAAAGAGTATATACTCTTGATTAGCGTGAAATTGCGGGTTGATTTAGCCATGTCTGTCCGTCTGTGTGTCTATTTAGAGCTTGTTGTTGTCACTCTCCTGGTCGCAAAAATCCGGACATAGACTTCAAATTTAGTAGAAACATGGGAAGTCTTTGCACACTGGTTGGTATTGAAAATCAGACAAATTGGTCAGAGCCGTAGCCGACAGTGGACGATAAAATGAACGCAACTCCGTTTTTTTATACAAAAATTTGGGATTTATTGTCCGTTACTCGGAAATTATTAAAGACCGAACGCTGAAATTTTCCACATTTACTTTTTGAATCACTCTACCCTTTACGTCCAAAAATGGAAAAATCGATCATCGATCATCGATCAATCGATAATCGATCACAAAGTTACAAGTGATTCACTTTTTTTCGTAATTTTTTGAGATTTTATGCTCATTTATCATAACGCAAACTAGACAAGACAAGGTGTTCAAAACTATTTTGTACGTTCCTCAAATGAAGATGTAGTACGTGCCTGAAAATGGGTTAATTCTAAAGTGAATACGGTAGACAACGCGATTACTTCTTTCCTAATAATACTAACGATGTAGATATCAAATAAAAGAACTTGAGGAGTAGAATGCGAAGAGCACAGTGATGGACACGCGAGATTCGGCCCCCGTCGAATATAAATTTCTTACTTGTCTTACTTGTATTTTTTTTTTTTTTGTGATATAGAACAAAATCTAATGGTGGAAAACGTATTTGTACAGGCTTACGATTTTATGCTGTGATAAATTCAATCCTTAGTACTTGTTATTGCACTGGGAGATAAAAGAAATATTCCCCCGACGGCTTGTAACAGATAGATTTTTTATTTTTTAAGCGCAAACGTCTAAAGCGAAGCTTCTGAAATTAATTGACGAATTTGAGGGACAATCAAATGCTATTCAGGAGAGCCTCTTGATTTCTTGACACACGAAAAGGTTTTGCTTTTCTTACAAATACACTTTCATTATGATCAGATCAGTCCCAGTAAAAGTAAATCGAAGAAAGATGGAAATTCGTAAAATACTGGGGAAAATTGATCTCGCTCTTCTTAGTAGTAGCATTCAGACAGAATTTTTTTTTTTAACTACAATTTCATGCCTTCCCGTTTTGCCTTTCTTTGCAGATTTCTATCGCTTCTTATCTTTTCGTATTATTCTTCATATGCCAGACGCTAAACAAGACTTTTATACAAAGCAAACCAATGGATATAAGTGTTCTACCTGAGGCTAATATTCAAAGCGAAGACAGCTACGATCGCAGCCAGTATAACAGTAATTTGGATGAGAAGACGATACAACAAGTGAGAAAATGCGAAATGGATCAAAACGCCATGGAATTGTGCATGCGATGCGCGAAAGTTACAAAATCAGTTATTGTATATCCTTTATGTTGCGGCGACGAAGAAAATGTTCAACAATGGTGTCACGATTATATATTCTTTGGGAAACCGAATGAGTACTAGGAGTTCTCGATCATAATCATGCGCATATTTACTAAAGTTAGCATTTCTTCCATAAAAAAAAAAAAAAAATACCATGGGTCTGATTTAATATTTTTATTTTTAAGAACAAAAAATACCTTTAGAAAATTTTTTTTACTTAATTTTATATTAGACGATTGGCTGGCTGTGAATGAAGAAAAAATTATTATAAAATATGTATTATTAAGGCATTTAGTATGTTTTTATACCCTACATTGTCTTTTAGTAAAGAAACATAAAATTTGTGCGAGCGTTTAAAACAGGCCTGATGGATTCGCATTTTATTATATCTATTGATTCCGGGTGATTTTTCCTCGATCGATAAAGACGTGCGTGTCCGCCTTTATATGAACTCTTGCATTCAGTGTCTGCAGATGACAATGCTTGAGATATTTTCATAAAATTTTGTACATCTCTATGTATTGGCCCAGGCACAAAAGTTAACGATAATAAATTGGTTCAGATCAGATTTATAATCGTCGTCTATATAAGGATTTATAGTGGCGAAGTGGAAAATTTCAAACATTGTTGCCTAATAAAATTTCGACTTAATAAATTCATGTAAAAAAATTGGATCAGATGGACCTATTTTTTTGAACTCTTACCAAAATTAAACTTTTACATCGCAAGAACGTCTTAACTTTTAGTATTTTAAGACGAAAGTAAATCAGTAGAACATCTTTTCAGAGAAAATTAGTTTTGCAAAGTTCGGACCGCAACAGTTCACACTTTGAATTCTCCGCCATGCTCAACTAAAAGTAAAAGGTACCATTTTCGATAGTTTGCCATGCAAACCAATGAAGAAATGAAGAATTGTATTAGACAAATTGGTGTAGAAAAAGGGTATTTAAAGGTCGACCTTGTCCGAGTGTGAATTTTTTTTTTTTTTCTTTACATATAAGTTTTTAATTTACCATTGAAATATAAAATAAAAAATAAATTATATGTCTGTACTTGGTTTACAGAGTGAACTAAAATTTTCAATATGTGCATTAAATAAGAGATTAAGGGAACCGAAATATTTCTTAAAAGAATGCTTAGTCCACGCTACTTGGTTGCCAAGCTATTGTTAAATGAAGGAAAACTTCCGGTATGCGGTTTGCATACAAAAAAGCATAAGGTGACTTTTATTATTTATTCATCAATACCTGCTTTGTGGCCCCTGGAAGTAAACCCCCTTGCACCGGCGCTTTTTTAAAATCTTGTAAGCACTTCTGATATGCGCTTTTCCCTACGGCCTTGGTGTTCTCCAGCTCCGAGACGTTCCCTCTTCTTCCTTAATTGCGACAAAACTCCGTCCTTTCATAGATCTTTTTAATATTGGGAATAGGAAAAAATTGCAAGAGGGCGAGTACGGTGAATATTGTGACTATTGTGGTATAACCGTGATATTGTTTTTGCCCAAACAGTTACGAACAAGCAATGACATCTGAGCTGGAATATTATAGTGACGTAATATCTATGACTGGTTGTTCCACACTTACATGAATTAACCCGTATGCCGACGTCCTCTGACAATGATCCGACGATTTATCCTAACAATTTTCTCCAATGCTTTAACGTGTTCACCGCTTGTTGACGTGATTTGGCGACCATCGCCGTTAGCATCTTCTGCCAATATTTGTTGGGGACAAAAAAAACCAATTCGAAAATCGAATATACCTAGCCCACGAAATTGGAAAAGTCACCAGTTTTTGTAACATCCCTAGTATAATTGATGCATCCAAAGGCAATGCACTATAAGTTGTTCAGGTGATGGGTTAAAGCACATTAACACATTACCCGCCGCTATTGTTTGCAAAGAAAAGTTCCTATGATGCTAAGTGAAATAAATATAGAGAATTGAATAATCAGAGTGCTTGATATTTTGTGTTTGTTAGCTTTATCCCCAAAACTTTTTACTCAGGTTGGTTGGCAGAACCAGGCAATCGTGCTTGGGGATCAACCCGGGGTATACTTGTAAAAGAGATACAAGCTTTCACATCTTTGTCAGAGTGTGAGTTCCTAAGAGGCAGCCATGACTCAAACGTTGAAATATATGCTAACCCACTACACTATACAAGAGACTATGAACAAATCCTCTAAATTTTGAAGTTCAACGAAATGCTCAAATTTGTGCGCACTGGATTTCCGTGAAGTTGACTGAAATAAACAAATGTGTGCATACGGTAAGTAATGGGTTAAATTCGTTCCGATGTATGCAACACCCAGAAGGACTTCAAATAGACTCACCTTTTGTAATACCTTCTTATTTCTTGTATGTAATCTTTTTGGCCCAAGGATGATAGCTATTAAAAATGATTCGGATCGGACCACTTTTTCGAACACTTCCAATATGAGCCTCTATTTTGAAAAATCGTCTCATAAATAACTGTATTAAGCAAAATGGTATGGGGTATTTGATAGTGACCAGTGTGCCTATTACTTGTTATATTTATAATGCTGTAGTCCAACCATCTTGCAAAAGCCTTACTAAACTTATTGCAAACGAAAAAAAATGTACTGGTGGCAGTAGCATGTCATATCCAAGCCGAAACAACTTAGTTAACATTTACTTGTAATAGTTCATCTATTTATTTGCTATTGCAAGAGTTCATAATCAAATTTCCTTTAAATTTACTTACGTGCATAGCTCGTAGAATCGCAAATGCCAGATTAATAGGTTTCTAGCGCATTTATATGATTATAATTGACTGCTGCCAACCTCCTGTCCGTCCTCCTCTTATTTAGTCTATCTTCTAGTTTATTCAGCTCATTGGTCGTCGTTAAAATAAACGCTACGCTACAATAGATATTCGTTGACTTAATTGTCAACTTATACAAATGTACGAGCCTGCGCACTAAAGCCTGGCTATCCTGACTATCACAGATTCAAAAAAAACCAAACACCAAATCTCTTGTTTTTTTTTTTTGTATATTTTATTTTATTTTTTTTTTTTTTTTATTTGTTTTTTTAATTTCATGTATAAAAATGTTTTTTTTCTTTTTCTTAGTAAATGATTTATGTGTGAATAACTATTTTTTCTTAACAACATTATAATCGCAAAGTAAATGAAAAAAAAAATCTCTAATGGTATATGTACGTGTATCGTGTAAGGTGATGTCTTTTTGGAAAACCAATCATTATTATGAGTCTTTGACTTATAGAAAATTTCAATTTTTAATTTTTGGACTTTTTTGAAGGAAGATTAGCTTTGGATATTTGGATATGTGGCAGAGGAGTAAGAAAACAGAAAGATCAAGTTATTTCTAGTATTGTTATAAAATCAGGCCTTTGGCAGTTAAGTTATAAAAAATATCCAAAAAAAAAAAAAGAAAAAATAAATAATAAAAATGTTTAAAAACTAAGAAATTTTTCAAGTAAGTTAGAACTAATAAATAATAAGGTTGGAAATTACTGGCACTTTTGTTTTTTTGAAAGTGTTGATAAGTATTACAAAAAAAAAAAAGAAAAAAAAAACTGCACATACACATTCAGATTTAAATAAAATATAATTATATTCACATGGAAATATGGAAACAGCAAACCTTTGAAAATAAAACTAAAAAAAAAAGAACAAGTTATAAACAAAGAAAAAATTAAATAATGTTTGCCATTCAAAATAATATCAACGGAGTAGATGGCTACTACAAAAGACACTGATTTTATATACACAATTTCTGGGTTAAAGATACGATGGAAAAACACACAGGTTCACAGGCAGTTTATAATAATATTAGGTTTTATTCTTCTTTTTTTTTTTTGTCATTATTTATATATATATATTTTTTTTTTATATCTTTAGGGCTATGTATGTGGTTTCTCTTTTGTATTGGTTCGGTTAATAAAGTACAATGGTGGTTTATTAACTTACCCAATAGTGGCCGACCGTCATAATGGATTATCTGACAATCTTTCCAGATTCTCGAAATGAAACGGATTTCAAAGACCCACAAAATTTAAAGGTAAAGTTCACTCTTTCCGAAAGTTTTCTGTCAAATGCACATACGAACAATTTTTATCTTCGCAATGACCCATCAAATCGTAAGGACACAGCACGCCTTGAGGATCCAAATCGCTAGAATAATTTATCATAATAAACGGATCACAAAACCATAGGAAAAACAGTAAAAGCACACTTTTTGTACCCATTATCTGAGGATAAAGACATTCTAATCTATACATAATGCACAAAACGGCGATACTAAATTACTTTAGAGAACTTTTAGTCGGGTGCACTTATGCCGGAAGTTAGATTCAAATGTTGTTAGTTTAATTAGTTTAAATCAGTCCACGCGCCCTTTCTTTTAATTTAAAATAAGTATAAAACATAATAGCACCATTAAATGGCCTACACCACCTTCGCTTAATGTAATTATTCATATAACGACTTTGATCGAAAGAGGAGTCCGAACCGAACCAATTTTAGTAGCTTTCGTCAAATATCATCAAAGCGTCTTCAAAAAATGCGAACTATAGGTTGAACAAGAGAGTACGATACGAACAGGCAGACAAACGGACGGACGAACTTTAATGGATTCCGAAAATGATTATGAAGTTCTTCTGGGCTTATCTTAGGTCTTTCTAGTGGTTATATATCTGCCAAAACTTAATATAGCTTTATATAACAAGTAGCGTAAATTTAAAAATTAACCATTAATAACTGCAAATATACGCCAGATAAACGTCTTCAATTTTATGAAACATTTTATTAAGCCTCTCTTAGGTTAAAAAACGAATGGAATCTCGACTTAAAAATAAAGCTTAGTGTTCGTAGAACTTCGCCTAAGATGATGGGTATTGAAGTGTTCGCCCTAAGGCAAACAAAAAGCAACAGCTTATATATTATGGATTCAATTATATTATAAAAATATGAAATTTTTCTTGAATAGTTGTCATAGTACGCACCTGTTCCCACTATTTAAATTATTTAAGGGTGACACGTAATAATTTGCCGCCAACGATTTTTTCTCCTGATGATTAAATATCTCAACTTCTTCTTGTAAGTTATCGTTCTTTTCGGGTAAACTTTCATCCTGCAACTAACTCCAAAAAAATAAATTAACAATATTTACCGGTAATTGAATGTATAAAATTATTTCAAATAACTATTTTTTGCTTTTTCTCAATCAAGGTTTAGATTGTACATATGTAAATAATTCTTCTCTTCAACGCACTTCTCTATTATCGCCTTTTTGGAATGTTGTAGTTGAAACTTGTAGACTTTGCTCTTCATCGTTATTAGTTGCCGTTGAAGGTTCTTCTTTATTATCCTCCTTGTTCTTTGTACGTTCCGTAGGCTCTATGAACTTTTCAATGTTTTGTAATTTGAGTGAATTAACCAATTTGATTTCCTCAGCCAATTGTTTGCTCTTTTCTATTATATTTTGTTTTAAATCATTATTTAATCTGTTTTTGTATACAAATATAAAATTAATATTTCAACAATTTTTTTTTTTTTAATTATTGCAAAGAAAAGTAGGCAAACTGAGGTTCATCCATCGTTAATAATTTTGAAAATGCTAGATTGCCTCCTGCAATATCAAGCGTATGCATAATATTTATGAAATTTTATTAGCTTTTTGCTACAGAAAGCTACGTACTTCGTACTTAATTTGATCAAAAACTAATTAGAACTTCCTAAAATAACCATTTATTTATTTTATTTCCAATTTCGTTTCTTCGAACACACACTGAATGTGCTTCAGTAAACAAACATAACTCAGAGTTTGTTTTATATCTAATAAATTCGATATATCTTTTGTCCATCATTACGCTAAATATGCCATTTAAGTAGCTAACTATTGGGGTTTAGCGTATAAAATATCTCTTTCAGTTCTCAAAACGTATTAATAAATAGCAGCAGAATTTATGCATTATTGTTCCCTGCTCTTCTCCTCCTTTTAAAAGGCTCGTTTTTCATCACAACCCCCAACAGAGAATTAAATTGACAATTAAAGGAATAGTGCCTTTTCTTTATAGGTTGATCCATAAGCGAAAGCATGTTTAATTCCTATTTAAATTAATTTCAAATTTGCCCACTTTAACGCATAAAATTATCAGTTAGTGTTCGTACCTGTAATCTTGTCCTTTTAATGTTTTTCCTAAATTCACAGCCAATTTAAGAATTTTCGTGCGTTTCTGTTTTAAATTCATTATCACATCGTTTGTTTTACAAATATTTGGATATATATTAGATATTTTGTGTTGCTCTTCTCTATGTTGGCTTTGCACTAAATCAATTTCGGCCTTTAAGGCTTTCAAACGCTTTTCCAAACGTAATTTTGATAATTTGGCATTTTTAGCTTCTTGAAGTAAATTTAAAGATTTGTCCAAATTTGTTATGATGCCAACCCTAAATAATGAAACGGAAAAAAAGGAATTTCTTCAAACTCCGTCCATTCTTTATGGAAACGCGTTACAGAGCTTACCCGATTTTCGCGAACGTATTTTCATAGGAAGATAATACCGTAGATCTGGAAGGTTTTTCAGTATCACTGGCGGACGATTTTGTATTGCTATTGGCATTCTTTATCAGAACCTGTTTGCATAAATTATTTTGACCTAAAGACGCTGAATTTGCAGTTGAAGCAGATGAATCGGGAAGATTATTTAAGTCATCATCTTTCGATGTAAATAAATCGCTAGTTTCCGTATCTGCATTTAAAGTTTTTCTCTGTGCTTCCAATAGCTTCATTCTGTGTACCAAACGTCGATATTCCTCTTGAGCAGCGGCGGGCAAATGGCGGACGGCCTTTAAATCGTAAACGATTAAAAAAACTTAATAACCGCGTTTCGAAAATGCTAAATCCAGTCAAATTGCTTACCACGGGTGTATTATTATGGGCCTTCGTTCCTTGATTCCCCATTACTGTCTTCGCTTGTGGTGTTTCTTGCAAAGATACCACTTGTTCTTGAACTTTGGAACGTACCGATTTCAGAAAACTATCCAATTTCTCTTCAAATTGTTGCTGATTCTTTTCGGGGCATTTTCCAGTGGGAGAACTCGACCTGTTGGGTGTACGACTGCGAGGACTTTCCATTATTAAACTGATCGGACTTGCATTGTCATTATAATCTTCAGCAGGTCTGCATAGGTAATCATAATCGTCACCGATATCGTTTTCAGCTTCGCTAGCACTTGTGTCCGTCGACGAGGAAGATCGTTGCAAGTTTATCACTAGTTTTGGTACCTGGCACATGCTTTTAACTTGCTCTTTGGAAGTAATTAAACGCGTCTGTATTGCTTGGAAGGCGGGGGGCGAAGTGCAAATTTCACTTTTAATCTCCATTAGATTTGTATTATTTTTTATAGGTTTCATATCAACATTTTTATTAATTACTTTATTGGGCTTAACAATTTTTGTAGTTTTCAAAACAGAATACGTAGGTAAAATATTGCTCTGTTGTTTTCTTAAATCCGTCGCCGGAGACGTTATTTTATTTACAACTTTTAATTTATTTTGATATTTTTTTGTTAAGTTTTTGTGTATTACTTTTGCAGATGCTTGGTTAAATTTGAGTTCCTTGCTTACGGCTTTCGTTTCTTGATATGCTTTACTTGAAACATTAGTAAAAGCGCTTGTTCCTATTGCAGAGTATAAGTTTCCTTTTTTTACGATGCTGGCATCTTCCTCTTGAAAATGCTTTTGTTTAAAAATTTTATTCTTTGGTTCTCTATTGGAAGTATCATTGGTATTCATAACCGAACACGTAAATTCATCCGTATTCCCTTCACTTTTGCTGAAAGAAGGATTCAAGGGGATATCCACTACCGCTGATTTCCCCAAGCTTTCCGTGCTTTCTGTTGGATATTCTTCCGACGAAGGCACGTGGGTTCCACTTGTAGTGGAACTTTTTTCCTTCAAACATGGCCTGTTTACTTGCAAATACGTTTCAGTTATTTGATGAAAGTTTTTCTCTTGAATACCGGTGGAATTCAAAAACTCTTCACTCTTAATTCTAGCACAAATTTTTTCCTCCAAAGTTTCTTTATTTTCCTTCACAAGATGTATCTCTAAACTTTTGGTTAGAATCAGATCTACATTAGTGTTATTCGTTTCCAAAATTTTCTCATTCAATTGATTTAGCGAAGGGTCGTCAGCGTTTTGCGGCAATTTGGGAAAAACGTCCGTTCTCTCAGTTTCTTCACTTCTTGTACACTCCTCACTGTATGGTTTACTAACATTTCCTGTGGAATATTTATTTCTAACCAAATCCATAGCTTCATCTATAGGCGGGTGGATTGTTTGCACATTTGTAAATGAAGATGCCTGCCCAACTGTAGCTTGGGCAACGCTAGCCTTGGACCTATTAAACGAAAGCGTTTCTTTCCGATCTTCGTTATCCTCAGATTTCGAAAAACTCTGCATTTCTCTTGAATGCTTTGGCAATGCCCATTTCAGAGGAGTTTCAATTTCTGTTAATTTGAAATCAGCTACTTCATCACTGGAACTTGCAGCAACCACTTCTTTCTCCTCTTCTTCTGCTTCTTTGTATTGCATTTGTACAAGTTCCGGACTGTGTTGCACTATTATCGAATTTTCGTTAATTGGCGAATTCCTACTATCGCCCGTGTCTTTGCTTAAATGTTTATTCAACTTAAAACGTCTTACCGCTTCTTTGAGTATCCATTCACTAGAAATATTTGTTTTTAGAATCTCATTAGTTTCATTTTTAGAGTTTAAATTCGCCGCATCTTTAGATTCCACATCCAATTTGCGCTTTTTATTGCGTGGAGATTGAAATTTAGCCAATAACAGGGCTCTTAAAGCTAACTCTTCTTCTTCTTCACAAGATGATAATTCTTTTGCTTCCACATTCTTCTGTCCAATTACTGCAGGATTTTTATTAATCTTTGTGCTGCTATCGTCTTCAAGATTTTCTTGATTTTCTACTTCCATCTCTTGAACGCTAAGATTTTCTTGATGAAACGGTGGTGGCGGAGGGACAATTTCCTCATAATATTCCACTCCCGGCGGTAGCGGCTCTACTTTCAAACCAGATACATATAAACTAAATGCATAATCTTGGTGTTGCATTCCGAATGGTAACTCGCTTGATGAGAGTGGCATTGTGGGTTGCGGTTGATGTTGTACTACGGGACGAAATTGATTAAACACTTCCCCCTGCTCACTATCGCTACTGGCAATATCCATGTCAACTGGTTTGGTATCTACCATTTGTTGCTGACTATCTTCTCCGTCATCCATGTATTGTGGGCTCAGTAGCAGTTTGGGCGACGCCAAAGGACTGGATATTAGCTCTGGTGTCTGAGAGTCTTCGCCTTCCAAGTCTACTTCAATATCACTTTTAATATCATTCTCTAAGACACCAAATTTAAGCATATCATCGAAATCGGTGGGTGAGTAGGCCAATTCGGCATTGCGTTTTTTACGTTCCATATGTTTCTTTAAAACAGCCGATTTTAAAGCAATTAAACGAAGTTCCTTTTCTTCCAGAGAATCAGATGAATCCTCTTCAATAATCTGAATCTGAGGATCATCATCATTTTCTACGATAATTATGTCTTCATTGTCTGAATTTTCCTTTTTGGGCTGTTCTAGAAGTCGTTTACTTAAACTACCCATTGTGTCTTCTTTTAATTGAGAATTGTGTATAGATCTGGCTACAGCAAAACGCAAACTGTCCCTATCAATTTGATTTGGGCCATCAATGGTTCCCTCATTTACATATGTGACCGAATGTAAAGAATTGGAACTCTCTGTATGCAAATCTATAGCCTCCATTGAATAATTAAAATCTCGACGATGCTTATGTCGGCCACTTTCATTACTATATGTATGACGACAACGACGTTTCCGGCGTTTGCTATGATTCCTACAACGATTATGGTGATTGGGCTTCCTTTTACCATCCCTACTTCTGCGACGCTTACTAGGTCTGCGGCAGACTTCATATTCAATAGACGAAATTGAGGACACATCTTTAGGTACACGTGGCGCGACGTCGTGTTTGCTTTTACGCCAATAATCCTTATTTAAATAATTGTAACTGCAAGACTGTGTTTTCGCATAATCTGCAAACAGAAGTTGAGATATTTGAAAATAAAAAGTTTTTTTAAACTTGAAAACCATACAAACGATATCAATTAATGAGGGGAAAGGGTGAAACATTTCCATTAATATTAACAACATCGACGCCACATAGCATTATTTCTTTTAAAAACTTACGGTATTCACTTGGGTAACTTCTGGATATTACAGCAATTTTTTCAATTTCTTTATTCTTGGCTTCCAACTCCTCGATGCGCTGCCTCATTACAAACTCTTCATCGGACGATATCAATTCATAATTATCTACAATTTCACCCTCTTCTGGCTCGTTTTCAATAGCGCCATTATAATCTGTACAGCTCTTAATATTCTTATCACGATGTCGTATATTACCAAGCATTTTTAAGTTACAAAATTGATAGATTAAAATTTATAAAAATTTGTTCGATATTCTTCTTCTTATTCCTATTCACTTCAATTTATGTACGTAAAATATTACTGGATTGATAATTTTACTACTCCGTTTTTACACAAATATAATACCCTACTTCTATTATCATGTACTATATGGAAAGAATTATCATTTTATTTTTGAAAATAGGGTAAAATCG